ATTTTAAAATATTTTTTAACATAAACTAACTTTTATTAAAACTATCTATATATAGTCTATAAAATGAATAACTTTGAATTTTGACCGTTATTTTTTATCAACATGGCAAATATAAAATCCCTCTGTCAAAAAAGTTACTGATATTCTTTAAATTGAGTGCCGGAATGAATCAGATAGGTAACTCTTTTTACTTTCGTGAAATAGAAAAGGAAAATAATAAAACAAGTGACAGTTCTTCCTCTTCTTGCAAAAATCAACACAAAATGGCATAATTGTCAAAAGTAAAATATCAGCTTTTGACATTTCTAAATATCAGACCAATGCCGTCTCTAATAAAACAGCCTCGGAGCGAGATTTATGACGTCACGCTAGTTAGATACTACGGATTAATAAATATGTTGTAGAATACATGGAAAACATAATTATTCCTCGTATTTTTTTTAAACCAAAAAAAATGAAAAACTAAATGAAAACTTAATCAGCGTTTCCGAACCTAAATCCCAAGAAAATAAAAAATTTTAGAATAATTTTACATATAAAATGACAGCGATGTTTATTTCATAGCCATCGCTGACGCCTTTTTTTCTATGATATTGTATTATTTGCAAATATAATTTTTCGAACATTGATACTTGCAAAATATACATATAAATTATTTTGAAACCCCAAAATTTAAATTATATTTTACATTTTACCCATTATCTTATGTACCTAGTCATTATTTGTATATTGTAAAACATTTGCTGCGTTTGTATGGTTCATAGTTTATTTGCCAAAGTATTTATTACTATAAATAGTTTGCATATGTATAGTAATAATATTGTATTATTAACTGTATATTATGTATATTTCATGTAAAATATATCATTTTTAAAATTCAACCTAAAAATATGAGGAATAATTATGTTTTCCATGTATTCTACAACATATTTATTAATCCGTAGTATCTAACTACCGTGACGTCATAAATCTCGCTCCGAGGCTGTTCTATTAGAGACGGCAATGCGTCAGCATGGCCGCAAGTTGCTAACTTAATAAAATTAACACTAGAAAAGCCCGCGAGAACTGTCAAATTCAAAGTTATTCGTTTCATAGACTATAACAACTGGAATTTCGTATTTTATCATTTCTTCTTAGTGATGTTACAGTTGTTGAAAGAAGAAAAAGGCATCTACGGGTAAGGCAAGGTACGGCTTACCTTCAACTTTTGTTATTTAAATACCTGTTAAATGTCACACAGTCAGAGTGAAATTTCTTGCAGTTTGATCGCAATGCTTTAGTAATAACAATAAATAATGTTTTTTACTGTTTTTAATTTATACACTAATAAAAAAAATGAAGCACTTGACCTAATTGCAATGAGAGTTCAAGTCAAGTAAATAAATTATTGCTTTTATTGAATTTCACCGGGACCTTATCTATACTAATATATAAAATCCTTAAATGACTGACATACTGATTAATCAAGAACCGAACCTGCTCAAACCACTCAACGTAAGAAGCTCAATTTTGGCATACACGTTGATTCTAGGGTGTAGAGGTTTGATATTACAATATTTCAATAAATTCAACTCCTCAAATATTACAATATTTTTTATTTAAAAAACGGTCAAGTTTCCGAAAAAAACGCTTAAACACGTATATTTTATTTTGTTTTTTTACATATTTTAAGATTTTTTAAAAATGTATACAGGGTGTTTCGAAAAATATGGTCATTGATTAATCACGATCCTGCTTAAAGCGCTTGACGTAAAAAGCTGATTTTTGAAAAACAGATTGACTTTAGGGTGTAGAGGTTCGATAAGAAGAGATTTTTCGAAACTCGATGGTGGTGACTAAGGGGGTGAAACTATCCCTCAAATATTAAAATATTTTTTATTTAAAAACCGGTGAGTTTTTCGGAAAAACTCTTAAGCACGTATATTTTATTTTGTTGTTTTACATATTTGAAGATTTTTATAAATTTATACCGGGTGTTTCATAAAATATGACTAATGAGTAATCACGATTCTGCTTAAATTGCTTGACCTTTAAAGCTGATTTTTGACAAACGGATTGACTGTGGGGTGTAGAAGTTCGATAAGGAGGGGTTTCTCGAATCTCAAATTCCAAGAGGGTGAAAACGCCCCTCAAATATTACAATATTTATTATTTAAAAAACGGTTAGCCTTTCGGGAAAACGCTTGGACAAGCATAATTTATTTGTTTTTTTTACATATTTTGAAATTTTTTAAAAAATCATACAGGGTGTTCCAAAAAGTTGGGTAATTTTTTAAGCACGATTCTGCTTAAACTGCTTGACGTAAAAAGCTTATTTTTGACAAACGGATTTTTCGAAAGTCAAATTCCAACGAGATGAAACTATCCCTGAAATATTACCAAGTAATATAATAATATAGCCATATTGTTTTTTCTCATGCTGACATAAATGTGAGAAAATTTTATCCAGTTTGTATGTTAATGGAAAATTCGACGTGAACAAAGTCGCTGGTACACGTTAGTAATAGATATAACAAAATAAATTAAAATTTTCTAGGTTACTTTTTTGTTCTATGTACAGGGTGGCTCGAATTCGACGCTCATCATTGGGATTTCGGAAACCGTAAGAGATACAGGATCGGTTAAATGGAGGCAAAGTTGCGCAATTTGATGCTCAATAAAATGCCGTATTGCATTTTTTTCTTCTTTTTTTTCATAAAATATCCTGGTGATGGAATTTTCTGTACGAAACGTCGGCAAATATCAAAGTGACTATATATAGTCACTTAGTCACATAGTGTAATCCGATTTTCCAATGGACGTTTCGTCTTTGAGCGGCCATTATCAATTTTATTTTTTTTAAATACGGTCCTCCGATTTTTTATTAAGCGATTCTTAAGAGTTTTATTAATAATATTTGCAGGAAAGTGATGCAAAATCAATCAACGTAGACAGAAAAGTAGAAAGCATTCTATATAACGTAAAATCGAGAGCAAAAAATAAAACCAATTACAAAAAACACGTAATAAAAATAAAAATAAATAATAAAAGAAAGTTATAAATTATAACAGAAGGCAACGTTCAATTTTCTCGAGATATATGTCGAGTAATTACATATAATATCGATATTTATTTGCATCTGAGGTTGTAAGCGAGTCTCCAAATCGAAGCATTGGCGAAAAAAATGCTTAACTTTCACTATTGCCGCTGTTTTTTCAATCTAGATGAAATCTACTACCAGTTATAGATAGACAAACTCTTTTTCTTTGCTATGCGCTTGTATACAGGTAATATATCAGTACCTGCTTGTAGATAAACAGAACGTTAAGTTTTAATCTCAGTGAAATAAGTGAATATAGAGGCTAAGAATAGTTCTTGGCTGTATCTCGGAAAGCATTAAGGATGATTTACAGTACACCGGACCGTGCCCGAGTCGGTTAGTCGGAATAGTTAGCCAAGATAAGGATTTCTGTAAAATTGAAGATAATTTAACATTACACCTGACCGCGCTAATCCAATATTACAGAGATAATAGCCTTAAACCAAACGCCTCAAAGACTGTCACTAGCTTGTTCCATCTAAATAACAGGGAAGCTAACAGAGCAATAAATATCAATTGGAACGACCAGCAACTGAGATTTTGCCCACGGCCAACTTATTTAGGTGTCACATTAGACCGGACCCTGTCATTTAAACATCATGTCGAAAAGACTAGGGCCAAAATTTCAACACGGAACAACCTGTTGGGAAAGCTGGCAAGCTCCACCTGGGGGGCTAATCCGCACACACTAAGAACTACTGCTCTTGCACTCTGCTATTCTGTTGCCGAATATGCTGCACCAGTTTGGGAACGCTCCTGCCATGCCAAAAAGATAGACCCGATGCTGAACCAATCGTGCCGTCTAATCACCGGTTGCCTAAAACCCACATCGGTCCAACAGTTACACCTCCTCAGCGGGATAGCTCCACCCCACATAAGGAGACAAGTTTCCAGCATGAAAGAGAAACAGCAAGCTCTTTCCGATACCCGGCACCCGCTCTTCGGACAATACGCCGCTGGACCCAGGTTGAAATCTCGAAAAAGTTTTCTTTCTGCCGTCCAGCCACTTGATAGCAGCACGGCATCCGCAAAGAGACTAGAGTTGTGGTCAGCAACTTCAACAACTCCAAACGATTTTGCTCTAAGGCCAAAAGAGAGCCTACCACCTGGTGCGGAACAGGCATGGCCGGTGTGGAGGAGTCTGAACCGTTTGCGTACTCAGGTTGGCAGATGCAAGACAAACATGAACCAGTGGGGCTACCTTGACGGACCTGTATCCTGTGAATCCGGAGAGGAACAAAATATGAGGCATCTTCTCGTATGACCAAATCTCCCAAACATATGCAATCAGAGTGATCTGGCGGAGGGAAATACCAACGCTCTGGAGTGTACCAAGTACTCGATATCCTGTATATAACCGCTGTGTGCATATATATGTTTTGTATGTTTGTCTAATTCTGTACAAGTTTTGTTCCTATTAATGTTGATTGTTTGACTGTTTTTTTTTAAATGTATGATGTACCTTTTTTATTAATTTGGCCGTTTTGTATATTTTATATGTGTGTTTTTGTATTTCTTGATTTTTTTTCATATACTGAGTTGGACACGAATAAATAAATAAAATTGAATTGGAGCCAGAAATGGCTCAAAACGAAATAAGTAAATTACCAACAGATATTCAGGCTGAGACGACAAACGCCATATCCAAACTACTTCCGTTTAAATCCCGAATAACTTATGAAAAGGAATACAACAAACGTGCGAGAAGAAATAAAGTTTTTAACCTATTCGCTGTTCCTGCTTTGGTTACTATTTTTGATAGATATAAGGCAATTTTAACAGTTGCTATGAAAAAAATAAAATAAAATATGCCATAAAAATAATGGAGTATCTTTTTTTAATTTCATCTTAACGAAATTTTTTGTTATTAAAAAAGTTTATTATTATTATTATCGAATTAATCTTATCCATTTAATTTCAGGTGAAAGTTCCTACCATGCAGATATACTACTGTACCAATCGTATCACCAATCCTGAAGAGAAAACATCAATTTTGATCCTCTAAAGAAATTTTATTTGGTTGAATTCAGCACACCAAAATGACGGATTGCTCTTCCAAACAATAACATCATAATAACATGCATTCAGTGATGAAAGTTTCGTGGTTTTGTAGCTGATTCTACACCTAGTAACACAGTTAAAAATCGTGTCAAATCGTGTCAAAGTACGTGACTTAAAAGTACGTGTTATACTACAATATAATCGATAAGGACTAAATCAGGACTGTACGCTGTACAATTGTGGTGTAGTGCGAATTTCAATGAGATAGAGTAGTTGTAAAATGACCGTATCGGCTATGGATAATGGAAAGAACCACAGAAGAAGCTCATGGGATTCTAGGGTTAGTAGCACGTATAAATAAATAAATAAATAAATGCCTTTATTGTCAAAAAAATTTACAATTTGTAGACAAAGGTAAAGTAAACAAACAAAAGAGAATACAAAACAAGTATACAAATTACATTGCCAGTCTTATTGTTTAAAATAAACATTTATAAATGTTTACAATGTCAAAGAATCAAAAAAAAAATAATTTTCAAAAATATTTAGTAAGTTTATAACAAAAAATATAGTAAGTTTATAGTAAATATAGTAATAGCAAATATTAGACCAGTGTTTACAAGATCAAATTCGGTTATCAAAATATAAGTCATTTCCGGCGTAAAAAGCCTTGTCTAGTAAATAAGATTTTAATGCTTTGCGAAATGAAGAAAATGAATTTATTGATTTGATTTCAAATGGCAGGTGATTGTGCATTTTTTTCGAGTTGTATAATATTGAACTTTTAACTAACTCTGGGCGTGGGGTAGGTAGATAAAGATCTTGCTCCGCGTTTCTGAGTGGATAAGTGTGAGATGGCCTTTCTTGAGAAGCTGTTACATGCTTACGTATTAGGCAAACGGATTCAAATATAAATAAGGAAGGAAGAGTTAATATTTTTAATTTTTTAAAAAAGTCCTGGCAATGAGTTCTGCTGTTTAGTCCCAGTGAATATCGAACAGCTCTCTTCTGGAGCTTGCAAATGCGGTCAAATTGAGTCGCACAACACGTACCCCAGAATGGAAAGGCATATCTGAGGTGCGACTCAAAAAGTGTATAATAAACAGTTCTAGCCACTGGCAAGTTAAACTCCTTAGAAACAGATCTTAATGCAAAACAGGCAGAGCTCAATTTTTTCGACATAGCCTTGATATGCATGTTCCATTTTAGAGAATTGTCTACAACAAGCCCTAAGAATTTTACGACGTCAATGGTGGTGTTGTTAAGTACAAAAGGCTGCAGCGAGTCTTTATACGACAAAGCTTTAGTTTTAGAAATGTTGAGACTCAGGAGGTTCGAATCGCACCAAGATTTAATGGTGATTAAGTCATTTGATATAATCCTATGAAGTGCCGTGACGTGCTTGTTGCTCCAAGTGAAACTAGTGTCAAAAAAAAATAGTCAAAATATGTCAAAAAGACATATTTTACCACTGATGTTTATGTTAGCAATGTCGTCAGATAATTGCTGAAATCAACCATTAAGTGAGAAAAGTGAATTTTACGCCTGTTTGTGAGTAGATTATATTAATATAGATATTATATTTTTCTAGAAACTCCTACACTGATAAAAAAGATAGACTTGAACTAAAGTCGTCATCGTTCTTGAAAAAAAAAATTAGTGGCAAGAGAATTTATTTTAGCGTAAAAGAAAACATTTTGCCTGAAGAAAAACTCTCTTAACTCAAGAAAACTTGTTCTCTTGATAAATTCGAAAATTTCTCTTGAATCTATTTTCATTCAACCAAGTGCAAGTTACTTTGTTTTAAGATAATAACAAAAATACGCTAGGAAGTACTTCATTCAAGAAACATGGCCATTTTTCCAATAGCTAAATACACTTTTGATGAAAAATAATAACGACACGCAAAGACGATGACGAAGTGTATACAAGCAGTCGGCAGTCCGATCAGTCTCACGTCGCATTTCATAGGTCGCACAGCATAGTATGCACGGGTTTTGTTGCTTGGAATTTTCCACTTGGAATTTTGCATAATTTGCTTTTTAAATGCATATCGTATAACAAATTAGTGATATATGGATTCTTTAAAAGAGTTTCTAAAAAATGGAAATTAGAGCATTTATTTGCTATATTTGAAGGTAAGAGACATTTACCTAATGCACCTGTTTAGATAATGCATGCGTGACTATAGATAGAATAAGAATATATAGGTATCGATTTTTTTCTGCAAATAATTACAAAAATTTTAGAATTTCAAGTCGTCGTATTAAAAAAATTGAAAATGTGACCAAAGCTTATAATTTTAATAATTTATTTGCTTTACTTTGATTAATCGTGATGTAACATTTTTTTGTAATTTGTAGAGTGATGAACCACCCCAAAAAATACCAAGAAGTGAAGAAGCAGAAATAACTACTATCGAGGAAAATAATATCACTTTACTTACTACAGACCAGGAAAACCTAAATTTATCAGAAAATAATATACCTCGTAATATGCCTGTATATGATGTATAGACTTCTCTTAGATCAAAATAAATTTTAGTTGAGTCAATAGTATTGGCTATTGATTTAAGAAAAGTGTCCCTTTAATCAAGAAATGTCCCTTTTCAATCAAGAATTTTTGCATGAATCAAAGAGACTATTGTTCTTGTAGCAAGAACTTCTTTATATTAATTTTGGGTCAAAGAGTGAAATACTTTGGACAGATAGATTCTTCTATTCTCTAAAGTAATTTTTTAAAGCTTATGAAAAGATAGCTAATGCTTTGGGCAAAGAAACGTCGTTCTTGGCCCTATTGAAAAGCGCCAATCTTTTGGGTCAAAGTCATATTCATTTCGACTGAGAGATCCTTTTTTTCAGTGTAATACTACGTTATACAGTTTCAGGGCTTTGATCAAAGCCAGTATCTGAGACGGTTTTCCAGCAAAGTTATCATTAATGGTTGTCGCCTCGGCGCACTCAATGATAAGGTGTTCTGGTGTTTTTCCATTTTCCCCATAAAATCTGCATTCGCTCTTGTTTCTGAGGTGCCCAGACAGTGTCCCGTTAAAAACCCCGCGACAATCTGAAGATTATTCTTACTTAAATTAAGGAAAATCTATTATTTTTCTCGGCCATAAGTTCTGAGAAATTCCGCTGGACATTTTTGACCTAGTAAACCAAAGACAATTGTAGACAGATTATTCATTTTTGTAAATTAATTTATTCTGAATGTTTTGTATTGAAATTGTTCGGTACAATAACAACAAACAGCGGCAATTTGCAACGTTTTTCAGACTATTATTAGCTTGTCGGGCCTTTCCAATAAATCTTTTAACGTGCCTTTCATAATTTTCGTCTGTTATTTCATTCCTTTTACTCGGGTTTCGTTATGCAGTAGACACGATCGACTATTTCTGTTGAAATTTAATAAATGCAGTGGTTTACAATGTCTATTTATTTAAATAAATCATATAGTAGGAATATTCAGAGAATTGTTAATAGTAGAAATCTATACTAATATACAGGGTCCGGCAATAGTGCGTCGGGCATCTGTAGCTCCTAGAATAAAAAACTTGGAAATTTTGTTTAAGTACAAACTTAATTATATACTAGGATGTATTTCAGGAAAATATTTTAACTTCTATTGGGTGGCTCAAAAAAGTGTGAGTGGATCGGGATGATTTTTTTTTAAATGGAACACCCTGTATATTATTGAATTTTTGGCTTCCTTTCAGATCAGTTTACATAATCTTAAGACATGAATAAATGTACTTCGATAATTTCAGAGATATTGAGAAATAAATAAAAATTATATATTTTTCAGCCTTTGGTAAAAAAAATATTAATAATACAAGAACTGTTCTAAAATCAAAACTATATTAGATATTTACTTTAGATGGTCTGTTCTTACTTTGCTATAAATATGGAAATCGTAAACCATACAGGATGTTCAAAATTCTACGCCAAACTTTCTAAAATTTAAAATAATGTTTCTTCGTTTTTTAAATGGAACACCCTGTATATTATTTTTTCAATAGATGGAGAATTAAAAAATGAACATTTTTTGTATTTAGAGTATATCAAAATTTTTAACGGTTTCACAGGTTTTTGTATTTCATATGGCATTGTCCACAGTAAATTTTTCATCAAAGCTACCTATTGATTTTTTCGCTCGTATTTTACCATTGGAAGCGCCATATGAAATAATACTACGTGTATCCGGAAAACTATTAAAAATTTTGAAATACTTTAAATACAAAAAAATGTTCATTTTTTAATTCTCCATCTAATGAAAAATAATATACAGGGTGTTTCATTTAAAACGACGAAAAAAAGAATATTTTATATTTTTGAAAGTTTGGCGTAAAATATTGAACATCCTGTATGATTTACGATTACCATATTTATAGCAAAGTTAGAACAGACCATCTAAAGTAAATATCTAATATAGTTTTCATTTCAGAACAGTTCCTCTATATTTTATATTTTTTTAAGAAGAGTTGAAAAATATATATTTTTAATTTATTTTTTAATATTTCTGAAACTATCGAAATAGATTTACTCATGTCTTAGGATTATGTAAAGTGATCTGAAAGGAAGCCAAAAATGCAATAATATACAGGGTGTTCTATTTAAAAAAAGTCATCCAGATCCACTCACGCTTTTATGAGCTACCCTATAGGAATTAAAATATTTTCCGAAAATACATCCTGGTACAACACGTATATTTTATTTTGTTTTTTTACATATTTTAAGATTTTTTAAAAATGTATACAGGGTGTTTCGAAAAATCTGGCCATGGATTAATCACGATCCTGCTTACAGCACTTGACGTAAAAAGCTGATTTTTGGAAAACAGATTGACTGGAGGGTGTAGAGGTTCGATACGAAGGGATTTTTCGAAACTCGAATTCTAATGGGGTGAAACCACACCTCAAATATTAGAATATTTTTTATTTAAAAACCGGTGAGTTTTTCGGAAAAACTCTTAAACACGTATATTTTATTTTGTTGTTTTACATATTTTAAGATTTTTTAAAAATTTATACAGGGTGTTTCATAATATATGACCACTGAGTAATCACGATTCTGCTTAAACTGCTTGACGTTTAAAGCTGATTTTTAGCAAACGGATCGAGTGTGGGGTGTAGAGGTTCGATAAGGTTCGATTGGTAATTCTCGATTGTTTTTTCTCATGCTGACATAAATGTGAGAAAATTTTATCCAGTTTATACAGTGGCGGCCAAAAGTATGGAAACTCTTTACTTTTTAAAATATCACAGAAAATATTGCTATGCTTAAACTCTCAGGAGTATAAATGAACAGCTTATCAGCAAATAAAAGTATTCCAAAAATT